TAAATGCATTTTAATCTACGTATTTTTGCGCGTCCTCAATAAGTGTCGCTTTTGAAGAGTGCGCATGTGCATAAATACATAAGGGAACCCCGGAGTATGACGTAAGAGGAAACCCGCGATGAATCCAACATCAAAAAAAGCTAAATGACAGAGAACAAAAAAATAGTAAATTAGTCGTCGGGTGCCATGTTCAGTACAGTAGCATTTTAGAGATCGCTAATCAGTTAAATAGCACAAGTTGTTACTCTAACACATGACTGATTCTCTTAGCAGTGCGCTGACTGCTGAACTAGGGAGCTGAATTGATTTGAGTTTTTTTTTTTCATTCACACTATTATAAAGATGGCGTTTATTAAAGAGGAGAGTGAAGACAGGAAGATTGAAGACGTGAAGATTGAAGAAGTATTCAGAGTGAAACAGGAAGATACTGAGGAACAAACAGGTTGGTTTTCATTCTCATTGGATCCTTATTAAAATGTCAGGCTCTACAGAAATGAATGATATTTTTGAAGAATGTCATGTAAGTTTCATCATTTAAATTGTTTTATTTGACATGGAGACTCACGTGTGCAGACATATTGAGATATCATGACTAGACAAATACCAGTGTTTTCCATATATTGATTTATTTGTGGCCTGCCACAATATAAAAAAAACTCTTCAGAAAATTTTGGATGTCATTTTCATTTCATCTTGCCTGTAATGCCTGATAAAGCAGCGTTTGTGAGCGGAGCGCTGCTTTGTGTACAGCCGTTACAGAGGAGAAAACTATCTCTCCCGCTCTGCATGTTGATTTTATCAGACGATGCCGCGATTATAAATGAGAGTGACTCCTGGTTAACGTGTTAAAAGGGGTCGTGTTTAGTCACTATTTATTTAGTGTGGTATTTTTTGACAATATTCACTCATCATGACAGTAAAATAGGGCATTCTAAGTCAGTATACTGCAGTATTTCCTCTCTCAATCAGTAGAAAATATGGTTAACACCTGGTCATGCATGAAAAAAAAAATACCGTCATGTACCGTGAAACCGGTATAATTTTGAAAAATACCGTGATATAATGCAGATTAGTGATGGGCGGTATGACCAAAAATGTATATCATATATCATGCATGAACTTGCAAATTCATTCTCTGCCAGCAGGAGGCGCTATGGGAGCGGGAGATATAGCGGTTTTCCCGGTAATGGCTGTCATCAAATAAGCGCTACTGTCCAGTCATCACAAAGTTTTGGGATGGGGTGGCACGGAAGATGGGGGATATTTTTAAAATAAACTTTACCAAGGACCCTGTTTTTTTTGTTTTTTTTTACCTGGCTTGCCAGCAAAAGACATTGCTTTAACCGCTAACCGGTTTATACTCTGCAATAAGCTCCTGTTACTCGCTAGAAAATGCATCCTTATTGAGTGGATTCACTCTAGACCCCCATCACTTTCCCTTTGGTATCTATAGATGTGGGGGCCTGTTATGGAACATCTTCCAACCAGTTTACAAGAGATTATATTTAGGGGAAGATTTGTATTTGAATAAGCATTCCTTTTTACTGAATAACTGGTTTACTTATAATGTATGAGATAGAATGTGCTGAGGGGCAAATAGCTAGGTCAAGAGGTTCATGATAGGCTGAGAATTTTATATATGTTATATATTTTCATTCTATTTTTCTATTTTTTATTTATTTTTTGCTTTTTATTTATTTTTAGAATTATTATTATTGTTTTGTTTTGATTATTGTACCTTAATATGGTTTAACCTTTTGTATTATTCAGGGTTCCCACTCTTTCATGAACACCAGATTCAAGGACTTTCAAGGACTTTTTAAAGCACCATTTATTTTATATCAAGCACCTATCAAATTCGTAGTGTCATGAAAGACCTTACAGTACTTAACATTTCACTTATACTTAACATTTACATTAAAAATTTCAGAGTAATAATGTTTTGAATGTGTAGGTTTCATAAATTCATACCGTTTTGAGCAGTCGTGTTCAAAGGAATTTAATGAAATCCATTGAAGTCAGTACTTGTGATAAATAAAATTCAATTTCTAAAATACTGATAAAATATGCATCAAACTGATTTTTGCTGTAGTTCTTGTACAAGATTTAAATTGGAAAGAATTTAAAAAAAATTTAATTAATAAAAAGTGGTTAAATGTTGTAA